GGGGTCACGGCGGCCGCCGCGCTGTTTCTGGATGCCATCTTGCAGCTGGAGGTGGAGGGATGGCTGCGGGGGTTCCTGGACGCCCTGGCTGCAGCAGGTCGGTGCCCACTCGCAAGCGCGGTCTCCTCCGCTTCTCCCTTTTCCTGCCAGAGCCACGGCCCTCTGCTGTCGGGTCTTGTCACATCAGATGAGACGCGGTAGGAAAAAATAGGTTGGCAGGGGTTGGAAATAAAACTCTTCGAAGGCACACAGAGAAACGCCCATCTGAGAAGCAGCTGGAACAATTTTGATTATGGAGAAAGTCAATACAAGATGAAGGGATGCAGAATAAAGCCTCATTGACAGGAGGCTTGTCTGTCTCGGAGCGTTTAGGGAAGAAACAAGACAGTCATTGTTCTCACCAAACATAAATAAAGGAAGCTAAATCCTCTGAAAGAGAAAGCTAAATGGGTTTCAGGATGTGTGAGGGTTAACTGGTAGCATGGGATAACTTCATTCAAGGACGGAGTCTTAAATTAGAAACTGATTTTTAAAAATTATTCAGAAGTCTTAAAAGTATTATGTTTCAAGAAGGAAGTATCCATTAATAGTTTATAAATGAGATGATTGTTCCTCAGTAGCTATGACTGCTTGATGTGTGAGGTCCTAATGCAATTTCCTTTCCAAAATGTGACAAAAGAGATTGTGAAGGTGTAAAATGACCAGGATTTGCCAGCTTTCCTCTATACGCGTAGGTTCTATCATAGATTCTTACTGGTGATTGGTTAGATATCTCAAACGGCAAAATCTTACGCTGTAAGCCACTTTTGGTTTTGTTTACTCACTACTAACTACGGATAGTTACAGTACCTCAGTAAGCAATTATTACAAAATTTCTTATCACTTGGATGTAGCCCACTCTCCCCTTAAAGCAAATACTAGGGCCAGAGCAACTTTTTACCAGCCTGTGATGGTCCTAATTTCTGAATTGCAAAAATATCTCCTTTGAACATGTCGATAGCATTCAGTTTGGTGCATCTTCAGCAGAAAACTGAAAAAGTTAACTCGCTGACTCCAAGTGCTGTCCCAAGTACTGAGTAATTGGGCCTGAGATGAGAATATAGCGTTACTCTTGTATTTGGCAGATGCAGAGGCAGGTGATAATTAGATGAAAGACATTGTGGTGGCGAGTATCCACACTTCTCTCCTGCTCCTCCAAAAGAAAATAAAAAGTTAGGCAAATTCCTTCTATTTTCCCACGGTTCCTCTGGGACCCTGAACTGCTTTCGTCCACCTCTGGAGCCTACATAGCAAATCACACAAGTCCTCTAAGTATGATTCCCTGCCGCTGTCTGTTCCAGGACAGTATTTTCAGCTGTTTGCTGACTGTCTAGGCTGCAGGTGTCTGGGTTGCTGTCAGTCAGGGACTGACTTGAAGCCAATACGATAAGGATTTTTGAAGGAGAGTGGAGCCAAGGACAGGACTAAAAGGTAAAGAGCTGGTAAATAAAAGAAAAGGGGACCAAAGGTGTTTGTGATTCTGAGTAGTGTCCTGTGCTCTGGGAGTTCCTGTGGAAGAGTATCATGGCCTGCAGGGATCCAAGGATTGCATGGATCAAAGGACGGGGGTCGTTTTGGTTGCTTGGGTGATGTGAGCTGTGACATTGTGCAGCTCTTTTTTCTCTTTGCAAGTGTTACTGCTCTTTTAGCATAGGATTTTTCATGTTATACATACAAGTGCTGTGAAGGAAAACAGTCACTTAATCTATAAAAATTGTTTGTGGTTCACCTAGATTTTTGTCAGTTACAGGCCAAAATAATTTTAATTTCTCCAGGGTGTCTGAGAAGGTTTTTTTTCAGCTTGTTCCTACCTATTCTAGCTAGAGATTGCATTCATAGTAATAATTTGTCGCTTTTTCTCAAAGGCTACACTGGACTGGCAGAAGCAATTGAAAACTGGGACTTCAGCAAACTGGAAAAACTGGAGTTGCACAGACAGCTGTTGAAGAGGATAGAAGCGACAATGCTAGAAATTGATCCGGTAGTGCTCATGCCCTACATAAACACATGCCTGATAGAAAGGGAGTGTGATGAGATCCTGCAGGTATGGTTAATGGTAAAATCCTGGTATTTGCCTAGTTTTGCTATGGAGAAGTGCTGGCTGCCTCACTTGTGGGATGAATTGGTGTCCATCCGTCAGGCTGCTGAGTGAGGAGGATGGCCAGCCACGGTCCCCTGGGGAGGGACTTTGCTTTCTTCTGCTTAGAGGAGGCTTTGCTGTGTGGCTGCAGCTTCCTTCAGCAGCGCTGTCTGCGGCACCTGCACGTCTTGCCTCATTCTTCACTCCTCCGGCTCGGTGGGTAAGGTGGCGTGCCAGAGGGTTGCAGGCAGGGCAGCAGGATGGGGCGGCTCTGGCATTGACAGTGCGCAGCTGTGTGTCTTTGCGGAGTCCAGGCTCCCGCGAGGAGACCTCAGGGGCTCTGGAAGATGCCACATTGCAGTGAAGTGGGTGCCTTGCTACGCCTTTGAAATAGACCCCTTTCTGGAGCGTTCACACTGCATTAATGCTCCTAAAAATACAGATGGAAGTAGGCAAAGTGGCATTTAGATGTTACCTAAATTGATTCCTGCTTGTCGTGGGATTTGACATAGTCTGCTACCTTAACTGTGGCAACCCCTAGCAGCTTTGTGTGGCTCTTTGAGTTTTGTCAGCACCCAAAGTGATGGCCATAGAGTGAAATGAACCTTCTGTTCTGAAGTCATTAGCTAAATGCTCTGTCACAGACGTTGACAACGTTTTCATTGACTTTGGATGCAACGCTGCCGTACTGTTACCCAGTTCTAGCTCAATGTCGTTATTGATGGCTGATAACAAGTGATATTACCAATCACTCATCATGTATGACTGGTTAATAATAAGTTATTGATGCTGTGTGAAGGAGGCTGGTAGGTGTTCTCACTCCTTGTGACTCCTGAGAAGGATTGTTTGCAGCTATTTTATTGTTTAAGCAGTATTTCTTTATGGAGATACATAACATTTGGAAAGCTGTTGCATCTGACCCAACATCAGGCCTGCAATAAATTTTGTACTTTTGCGTTTTCCTATTCTGGAATATTTTTTAATCAGTTTGGCCTCAGAGGTTTATGGCAGATATGGCTTATTACAAGGACGTCGCCAGATGACAATTCACAGAATAGTTCTGTGGCGTTTCAGACCTTGTGAATATTTAAGCAAATAGCCTACCTGTTGATGTAGTCCAGCTAAGTTTAGTGTACGCCTAGGCTGGCAGAATTGCAGCAGTAGTAGGTAAATGACTGAATTTTATTGGAAACCTTTTATTCAGCGAGAAGAAAATGCAATTTTCAGCTCAACATCAAACAAAACAAATGAAAATATTAATCAAAGAACAGTGGTTTTGATCACTCAGAAGCTACAGCAACTTCTGTTTGTTGTGTGTGCAGATTAGCGAATACAGAAGCAAAGCAGCTGGGATAACTAAACTCATTGAATGTCTCTGTCGATCGGATAAGGAAAACTGGCCGAAAAGCCTTCAGCTGGCACTAGATAACGCAGGATATTACAATGCAAGTGAACTGTGGGATATGAGAGAAGGTAAACTGCCAACTGTTTTTATGATGCTCTTCTCCTATTCTTGTACCAGACAGTAATTTTTTTGCAGGAGAATAAGGCTAATTTAAAAGGATACCATCAGACTGCAGTGCCCATTGTTGTTTAAAAATAAGCCCCCTTTTTTAATTAGAATGTCTTTTACATAAAACGAAATATAGGTACTACCCTACAAACCATCAGAAATTATTTTTTGAGTATTTTTCCTCCCATATGGTTATGAATGATGTCTTTTTTTGGTAAACATAATCTGACAGCATACAAGGCTCTGAAGGTACCAAACTAACAAAATGTTTATCTTCTTCACTCGCTTCTACGGTAATTCACCTTTTGCCATCTATTTGGTTGCTTGAGTTGTGAGAGATGCAATGTTTTCTGATAGAATATACTGGTTTTTTTGAGAAATCTGTAAGCAGCATTTACCAAGTAACTATGTTCATCTGTTGTAAAAATGCAGAATTTCCCCCAATAAGGTTTTGCTTTTGTCATTGAATTTAGCTTTTTCCACTTGAAAAATACCTATATGAGTACCCTGCAGTGTGGGAGAATTTAGAGTGGAATACAGTATTTCACTACAAAATAATTAAGAAAGACAAGTGATTTTAGATAAACTGGATTGTATTTCTTTATATCCACATTTGCTTTCTCCCAAGCCATAAGTGATCGTTTGAATTTTTTTTAATTAGCAACTGGGACAAACTACTTTTTAAGTGGCTTCTTAAACAATATTTCTTATTTTGAAATGTTTTTATTGCTGTAGTCAAATGTGTGTAATTTCTTATCTGGAGATTTAATTATATATATAATTATATATGTAGTTAACCGATTTATAAATAATTATATATATAAAATATATAAGAATAATACTTATGCATACATAGATACTATTTTATATAGGTGATGGCTATACATATTATTTGGTTAACAGTTGTATTTTATAAGTTAAAGATATCACTGTCTTTTGGGGCAGCTTCTGTTAACATCCAACTTAATAAAGGCAAAGTCAGCCTACTGAAGAAACGTTGTCCATATTGGAAGCATTTTAATGCTAGCAGTTAAGAAGAGTTGCTAGTAGAAGTTAATCGCCCACACTGTGTGCTTTCTGGAGCTGGATAAGCATGCAAATGTGCTCTTTCTCCCTCTCCAAAAGCAGCACTTTGTGATCGTGCGTTCTGTTTGCAAAGTCCAGTGACAGTTCTTTGAGAAGGTAATAGTTATGGGGCCAAAGAAAATTTTAGCAAGCATCTTTGGAACCTCTCTTGATTATCATGTAAGATGAAGGATGGAGATAGTCTTACAATTTCTAGGTCCTTCCAAAAGGTGGGGGGAAAGGGAGAACAAAGTCTTCACTTTGCAAAGCTTCTTTGAACTCCTCAGTATTTTTCGTGCTTGTGGTTAATGTCCATTTTAAATCTGTGATCTTGTCACTAAACACAGAGGATAAAACTTTCCCCCCAGTCTATTATCTCCCTTTATTTTTAAGGGATAGATAAATGTGCGTTGAGTATGTGGGTCTTGTCAACCCAAGACTCTCAGTGCTATCCGTCTTACTTGAAAGGGAGTCAGGATGCAACAGCATTTCATGTAGTCTTTCCATGCTAGCAACCAACTCCTTTACCTTGTCATCCCAGCAAATACAACATTTTAAAATTGAAAAGATCAATAACATGCCTTTTTTTTTTTGTGACTGTACAGATAATGGCAAAGATGTTGATGGTGAAATGACAGATGCCTCTGAGAGCAGCTTTGAAACCACGATAACATTTTCTGAAGAAGCAGAATGTGATAATCTCAGTGGAAATCTCTGTTCAGCCTCAGGTAAGACTTAGCAACTTAAAACAGTTTGTGGCTGGAATTCTCCATATCCTTATACTCCTGAAGGATGCAGATGCGGTGTGCCACAAAGGAAGGTACTGAGGAACTAGTATGAATCTCTGACTTGATTTAGCTGTCTTCTGTTTTAACGTTTAATGGATCTCATGCTGGGCATTGCACATGTAGGGGTTGCCCCTCATTTACCACATTTCTAGTGCAAAGCTGTTCTGTCGGCACATTATCAAAAAGGTCTCCAAACACCAGACTGTTCTTGATGTATATCTTCTCTGATACAACTAATTCACATGTGACCTGATATTAGCCAGTTTAGAGAGCTGAATGTGGCTGCAGAGGATCTGTGCAGTGGCTGTCACCTCTCGTATGGCAAATTTTGCTCCACCAGTGTTTCTAGTTCCTGTTCCATAAGCAGAAACGCTCTGACAAAACCACAATTTAAGAGAGTATTAACTTCAAAAGTCTGTAGAGCAGAAGACTAAAAGGAATACTGTGCATATATTTTGGGGAAAATAGGCCCTTGTGTTTTCCTTCTGAGTTGAAAAAGACCAGTTGAGGTGAGAGCTGTCAGCCAAGACCTTGAAATGAGTTCATTTTAGGAAGCAGAGTCAAGTGGCAGCAAAAGTATGGCACCAAACCTGCACAAAATTCTTGCTTGGCGCGTGTGTCCTGTTAAAAGGCTTGTCTGTCAGAGAATGCTCTGTGTAGACTGCGAGGACTGTACCTCTATCATTTTAGATAGCAACCGTATGGGGCACAATATATTTTATGCATTTCTGTTGCAACACTCTTCACAAAAACATGGTTCTCTCCTAGAAGGGATCTATCAGTCTTCACCTGTTTATGAAGCAAAGAAGGCTCGGAACTACCAGACTGAACTTGCACAGCCTGCTATCAATGGGAAAAACACACTGATATGTGCCCCCACAGGTAAGAAAATACATGTTTCTTAGAAAAATTCTCTTGGTGGAGAGGTCTATGAAGGATAGGGAAGGGTAAAGGTTGAGTTAAACTTTTCCAGGTGTTTATTTAAAAGCAGTCTTCCTTGCAGGAGTAGATCCAGATCTAACCTGAAATTAATGACCAACAGCAGCACAGAGACTGAGCAAGACAGACGTGTCTCTTGGCACTTCAGTGCTTGTATTCAGATTTCCACGTTCAGACCTTTGCTTTCTCACTCCCTGGTGTGGATTTTTGAGTTAAAATCACTCGCTGCAGATCTTTAAGAAATTTGGCTTGCAAGTTGAAGGAAAAATAGGATGAGTTTTCCCCCACACTCCCCTGACTTCTGCACTGCGATGCCTACAACATCAAAACAGCACAGGGAACTTTTGCAGTAGCTCAGAACTGAATTAAGAAGATTGAATTTCAGCAGCAAAAGAGAGATCAATCAGCTCTTTCTCTCCACCTGTGTTTTCCAAGTTGCTAGCCTGATTCTCCCCTGAGACCTGGAGAGGCAGCTGGGGTAGCAGAGTCAGGGACACAGAAGAGCTCTGGGTGGCCTGCACAGCGAGCCTGAGAGCTGAAGGAAAAGAAATGTGAGAGGAGCAAGGCTGCACGGGGAAGGATGGAAGCTGAAAGTGCCCGGTGCCTGTACCATAGTCTGATTTGATGTGGGATCACACTCTAAGAGCAGAAGTAGACTCAGTGATTTCAAAGAACTCAAATAAAACTGCGGCTGGATTTTTCTTCCCAGTGATTGCCACATGGTTTTACAGACTGAGACTGTGAGAGAGAAGGGGATGATTACCCACCTGAGTAAGCAGCAAGCTTACTTACTTACTGTTCAAATCTGTCTCCAGACAGTCTGGAAGTGTTACAGCCCCCTTATCAGCTCCCCGTTGTTACAAGGCATCCAGATGAGACAGGCTCCTGCTTACAAATACACCCTTTCATACTAGTGCTTTACCATTCACGTTCTTTGTTTAAAGGATCTGGAAAAACTTTTGTGGCACTTCTGATTTGTGAACACCATTTCCAAAACATGCCCGCAGGACAGAAAGCGAAAGTTGTCTTTCTTGCAACTAAAGTGCCAGTGTATGAACAACAGAGAAACGTATTCAGGCAGCATTTTGAAAGAAGTGGGTAAGTGTAATTCTACCTGGTGGCTTCCTCCACAGAAAATAAACTGCCCTCTCGGTCAGCTGTGGCTAGGGCAAAATGTAATGGGTTTACTGGTGACAAGGAGTGTTTGGCGTTAACATAAGGATGATGCCTAGTGGTAAGAATGGCAAGTTACCATCTAGTCAGAAAATGATGGTCCACCTCTCAGATGGGACTGGAAATTGCTTAGGGGAGTACTGACAACCTATAGCTTCTGGTTTTGAAGGAACTGATTACTGAAGATCCGCATATGAATCCTTATAGTTGTGGGAAAATGAGGGTGCTGGACAGAAAACAGTCCCGTGCTGCCGGACGTATACAAAACAGGGATGAAGGGCAGGATCTCCAAATACACCTTACATGTGAACTGACAGATGCAGCTTAAACGTACAAAATTACCACCCTCAAACCTAATATATTTTAGTTAATGGGAGTTCAAAATCCAGGTGTTTATGCTCAGCAGTTTTTTTCTCAGCTTCTGTGGGTCAAATGGCTGGCCCCAACAATTTGACATTTTGAATTTAGTCACTACCCTTCAGGCTTGCTGAAAAGTCCATCCTTCTAGCTTTTTTTGCCCTGCAAGACATTGTTTTTCATACACTATCTTTTGCCTCTTCTTCCTAGGTATCTTGTTCAAGGAATTAGTGGTGAAACAGTTGCAAATGTCTCTGTAGAAAAGGTTATACAGGACAGCGACATCGTTGTGCTGACGCCCCAGATTCTTGTGAACAGCATCAAGGAGGGGTTCCTTAGCTCCCTCTCCATCTTCACTCTGATGATATTTGATGAGTGCCACAACACTACAGGCAACCACCCTTACAATGTGTTAATGGCCAGATACCTGGAACAAAAATTTGACGCCTCTGAAAACCAGCTGCCTCAGGTAAGTGGTGGAAACATTAGAGAAAAGTATTTTGCAGTGCAGTCAGCAAAGCCTGAAGTCTTGCCTTTTGTGTTAATCCAGTTCAAACTCCCATTTAACAATGGCTGCAAATTGAAATGGTAGCATCTGGAACAGTTTTCCCCTCTTCTCAAACACCTCCAGGCTGTTTTCCCATGTTACATCTTCCCTCCAGCTGCCAAGAAGGACTGATCAAGCATGACAGAGACTGGACTACTGGAGAGTAAAAACAGGATTGCTGGGCTGGGAAGAAATCACGTGCTCCAGAACTTAGTGATCTCCTTGTTACCTCTCTGTTTCTGTCTTCTGCAACAGTAAAATGGGGCCACTGCCTCCACTGACAGGAGATTTTGGTCCAGCTGAGAAGACATCCTCTCTGAATGAATGTGGAGGACCATTCTAGGGGTGGATTTGTTGTTTCTGTGTATGATGAGCACTGGCAAATACAGCTGGTTATGGATTTAAGTGGGTGGATAATTTAATTTCAGTTTGAATACTCCAAGCTTAAGTGCCTTGGAGAGGGCATGAGTGGAGATGAGGTTTGGCTGTCAAGATTTAGTCCTTGCACTCATGTTTACTTCAGCTGCCTGTTTGGTTTCCTTGCTTTTGAAGACGGTGAGAACTTGATGATTGGTAACAGCGTCTCCTGGGTTTTTTTTATTTGTGACAAAGGAGCAACCACTGCTATTCACGTGTGCGCTCAGATTGTAGGTTTAACTGCTTCTGTTGGAGTTGGTAATGCCAAGAGCATCGAGGAAACGATAGAGCACATCTGTACCCTGTGCTCCTACCTTGACATCCAGGCCATATCCACTGTCAGAGAGAACAAAGAGGAGCTGCAGAGATTCAGAAACAAGCCAGAAACACGTAAGCGCACTCCCTTTTTGTTTTCCCGTGAGGTGCAAAGCACCATAATGAAGGCAGCTATCCAATTCTCCTTTGGTCAGGTAAAGTTAAAAGCTTAAAACTAAGCTGAAGCTTTGCTTGCTGCTGGCTTGAAAGGAGTTTAAGCATGCACTTCACTGTTGCCCCGCAGTAAGGCAGTGTCCATTTGGGCAAATTTTCTCTTTGCTGAGCTCCACAATCTCTGGTTTTTATTTAGCAAGGCAGAAAAGCCAGTGCAGTTCTGCCAGTGAAGACTGGGGTCTGTTTCTTTCTGTGCAACTGTAATGCTCATTAACAATAAACATCATTATGATTGCATAGAGCACCATATGTAGCATTCTTTTAGACAAGAATTTGTTCTTCGCTGCCTAGGGAAATGTTTTACTTACTCAGGCCACTGACTTCTGTTTCTTGTCTCTAGATGTCAGATGGGTTAAGATGCGAGTTCAGAATCACTTTGCAGACATTATCAAAGGTCTGATGTCTGAGACAGAGGCGTTGATGAAGAAGGTTTACTCAGTGGGTAAGATACTGTAATATGCCTGTAGCTGGGATTCAGTCTTTGATTCCATCAGTGTGAATCCTCATGGCTGCTAGAACAGTCACTCTTTTTCCACTTCCTTTCTCCTCCTTCCTCTTTATTTGCCTTTAACCAATATTTCCTAAATAAGAGAATACAGTCAACTATTTTTCTGTTATACGTGATTGGTTTGATAATTATAAATATTTTTGCTTGGATTTCAACCTGTGTTTCCCGCAGCTAAGGATGGTGTGCTTTTGACACTGTCAGATAATTTTGAATGTTTAAAGAATCTGAAACAAAACTACCAAAGGGCTTGCTTTCAAAATGCAATGAGCTGGATTTCATTGGTAAGACATACCTGTATGTTCTTATTTAAGCATTTCTCCAAATGCTTCATACCTAAATCTGTCTCTGTCAAGGAAAACAAGAAGGGTCTCGGTTATGGTGTTTGAATGTTGCAATTTCTTCCTTTCAGTGAAAGTTTAACTTTTACTCTTGCTGCTCTGACACTTCTCGTATTTTTTCTGGCCTCTCTGAGTTGCGCTCAGAGTTATTTCTAGGGATGCCCTGGTCACCTTTTCTGGTCGGCATTTTGTCCTCTTCATACCTCTGGGTCCCCCTATGTCCACTGTTTACCAGGTCTCCATTATTTCCTATTGAAAAGCATTTAAGGTAATTTTACAGAGGAGGATCTGTGGGACATGAACACCACCAGAGACATGATATGGCTGCCTAAGAAAGGAAACACTTGTCTGTAGAGTTCCAGCCTCAGGAGCTGCAGTGCTGTGAAGGTTTGCAGAGAGGGAGATGGATGGCTGTGAGAAGAGAGAATGGGTCTCACGGTCACAAGACCTAATGCTGCAGCCCTGCAGAAATCAATTGATCTTTTCTGCTTTTGCAGAGCTCCTAAGTGGTGTCCAGTAAGTGGCTCTTATCAGCAAATTTGAGAGCTACAGGGGGTACAAAGCAGAGACCCATGGATGCCTGTGCATCAGGATCAGCCTTGGTCTATCCAGCTCTGAATTAAAGGATTTTGTCTGTGCTTAGACTGGCTTTTGCAAAATGACTAGGGTGCCTTAAGCCTGTTTACTTCAGTTCATAGAATCATAGAATCACAGAATCACATGAACTGAGGTAAACAGGCTTAAGGCACCCTAGTCATTAAGTTCTATACTTTCTAGAATTTTTTTCCCCACACTTTCCAGATATTGGAGAGTGAACTATATTCTGGGGCAGGAAGGAAGACTTAAAAAAAACCCCACCAAAACAAAAAAAACCCTGCCCAACAAAAACCCAACCCAACGCAAAACCCAAAAAAACGCAACAAAGAACAAATACAGTGGGAATTTCAAACTGCATGCTAAATTAAGCAAACACTTCTGAAGCTTATTTCTGTATCACAGTTCCTCTTGCATGAATGCCATTGGCTTTGCTTCTGTCGACCCTTTGATTACTGAAGTTTGTGAAGCACTCAGAGTATGTATGTAACAAACAAGTACTGACTAGTTCAGCCTCAAGAGTAGGCCCTTGGATAATATGCCTTTAAGTACATGGACCATTTAGCAAATGAATACTTAACTATTGAGTAGCTGGTAATTCAAGGAGCAATGCACATGCAGTATCTTGAATACCTTAGGCTTCTTATAGGATAAGTGAGCTCTAATTTTATTGCTAAAGACTCTGCAGATGTGTGTATGTACACAGATCCTCAGCTGAATTGTACTGGGTTAATTTTAGCCTAACATCTGGGTGTACGCTGAAACACAGGGAGTGAAGAAGACAAAGCCAGACTCTTCTCAGATGGTTCCCAGAGGCAGGACAAGAGGCAGTGGGCACAAACAGAAATACTTAAAACAACAGGAGGAACTTCTTTGCTGTAAGGGTGGTCAAGCACTGGAACAGGTTGCCCAGAGAAGTTGTGGAGTCTCTGTCCTTGGAAGTACTCAAAATCCATTTGGACATGATCCTGAGTGACTGCCTATAGGTGACCTTGCTTGGAGCAGAGGGTTGGACTAAAGATCTCCACAGGTGCCTTCCAGGCTCAGTGATTCTGTGATTGTGTCTGCATAGGCTTTTTAAACCTAACATTCATGGAAGATGTGTTATCTTCCAGCTAACTGTTCTGGTTATTTGTTAGTCAAGATGAACAAATGTTTGTTTCCTCCTTCTTTACTAGATACTATGTCTCAAATCAACAAGAATGATTTTGGAACACAGAAATATGAACAGTGGATAGTTGGCACTCAGAAGAAATGCAGGCTGTTGCAACTGGCAGACAAGGAGAAGGAGAGCAGCATTTGTAGAGACCTTTTCATTTGCACTGAACACCTGCGGGTAAGTGTATATCCTCCTTCCTTCCATACAGAGGTGGAGCCACCCTGTTCCTTCTGATACAGGTATGTTCACCTAGGAGCATTCGAACCTAATTATTTTATTTGACACAAGCTAAAGCATAGCATGTAAGAGTTGTGTCTTAAGATACTCACTAGAAACAGTATAGTGCAGAGGAGACTTTGTAATGCTTGTGTTGTCATGCAAATGAAGAACAACACGAATTTTTAATACTTAATCTAGCTAAATAAAATTTGTGTTCATCCCCTGTCCCATGGAAAATGAGGCTTAAATGTGTCTGTCTCTTTTTCTGAGCAGAAATTCAATGATGCTCTCATCATCAGTGAAGATGCCCGCATTGAAGATGCTTTAGTCTACTTAACTGACTTTTTCACAAATGTCAAAAATGGACCATATACAGAGTTAGAGAAGCAACTGACAGCCAAATTTCAAGGTATTTCACACAGTACCTGTGACAGTTGCAGGGGAGAAGAGGCCTTATGGTAGGATGATCCAAGTGTTTTCATCAGAGTAAGCGCAGTTGTTTTTTCCAGAAACTTTGCACTTTTTGGAAGATCTAGTGCCCATGTGAGTGCAAACGTAGTGTTAGGGTAGGCAGGGGGAACTTTCTGGGACTTCAAGCTACTAGTGCAAGAGCTAAGGAAATAGTAGTAATTGTAGCTAGATGCTGTAGTAGGTTCTTACATGCCTGACTTGGAGATAAGGCAGCGGTGTCCTTAAGTATCTGCCCCACGAGCAGGAGGATGGTCTACAATCATGGATGCTGGCAGCATTAGATAAGGCAATATACACTGCTCAGTGCACTGCCTAGCCTCCTCCTGCCTAGTGCTCCCGGACGAATCCCAAACTTCTGGGAAGAAGCAGGCGGCCCTTGTACCCTTCTGATTAGAAGTTAGAGGTTGCACTGTTGTCTAACTTCTGATTTAGTAGCAGTGTGCTGTACATCAGCCTGTGATCCGGTGTGTTGCAGTGTTGACTGCAGTTTTAAATCACTGGGCTGCCTGCCCTCTAGTGTCAGTTGTTTCCTAAGAAGAAATAGCACCGCTCTTGGCAAGAACTGTTTTGTTGCTGTCTTTTAGTGCACAGTATGTCACAGAGGTTCTCCTGTCAGTTTGCTACAAAATATGAGAGCCTCAGAATTTTTTTCTGGGGATTTTGTTGCATTTAGCCAATAGCTTTCTTTGCTTGCATCTGGAAGAATGGTATAGAAAATAAAAACAGATGCTAAAAAGAATGTGGGTGGGATTTGAAGGTAGGTTTGGGTAAGAATTCTGTTTTCTGCATTAATGAAGGTAAATTATTCAAGACACTGCTGTTTTCTTCCAGAGAAAGAACCAGAAATGACTGCCCTTTCAAAAGATGAATCAAATGAGAATCCCAAGCTGGAAGAGCTTGCTTGCATCCTGGATGAAGCATACCGCTATAACCCAGAGACTCGCACTCTTCTCTTTGCTAAGACAAGAGCCTTAGTAACTGTAAGATGTTTCTTTTTAAAGCTCCTAAAATCAGAAGTGAGAAAATAAAATGCCTCATTTATTACCTTTCCCATTTTGATCTGGAAATAGAAAACTATGCATCTATTTGATCTTCCTAAGAAAATATTTATCTTTCTATATCTTCCTAAGCACTGATGCTCTGAGACAGGACGAGGTTATTTTTTTTCTTTTTCTGAAAACTACAGTACAGGGGTGGTGTCCTTCATCACTTCTTCTTGCTATATGTCACAGTTGATCATTAAGCCATCAGATTTTTACTTTAGGTCTGAAGTTAGTTTTGACAAGATGTGTTACAAGGTTTTTGGCTTTAATGTGGCAGTGTTATAAACCAGTAGCTCTGCTCTATTACTGACTGCACATCGGGAGGTATTTATAGGTTTCCCGGAGGATTCCTATGGGCCCAAAGGAGGTCTGTGCCCTAGCATGGGGTTTTGATCAAAAGGAAAGACTTGGAGGAGCAGATATTCTCTGGACCCTTCTGATGCACTGGTCTGTTTTATACTTGCCTAGGATCAAGGATCTAGGCTGAATGATCTTTTTTCTCCCTTCCAACACCTTGTTCCCAGAAAAAGCTCATGCTTGAAGTAAGTGTGCTGCTAATCATTAGCTTCAGTAGCTCTTAAACATTTACTGCAAGGTATCATAGTCTCTGGCTACTGTAAACAGATTTATCAGCTTAGAGTCCCAACCCCCATTTTATCCTTGGCTATAGACACGCCGGATGAGTTGCAAACCAGAAAAAAATTAAAGGCAGGCTAAAGTCGAAACTAACACCACCAAGCATCTGCTGGCAATTTTCCATTATAGATGTAAAAGCCTACTGTAGCTTGGCTGAATTTTGTTCCTGTGTAAGAGGAGTTTGAAGGTGCTACTTTCACTGTGCAGTGAGAAAGTTGTAAATAACAACTCTTTTCCTTTGGATCCCAGAGGTGTAGTATTCAGTGACCTGTTGGTTTATGAGAGAAAAAGGCATACTTTTTAGCAGTGAAAGGCTGCTTGCTCTCTAGCCCACCTTTAAGTTGCAGGGGTTGGAAAAGTGGAAATGAGTTGTGGCATGGTTGGATCTGGCATCGTGGCTGTGACCTTTGCTTTCTCACCTATTAGTAGATGTTCCCCTCCTGAAGCACAAGTTCCACCTTCTTTTCTGTTTTTAGTTCTCAAAGTATGAATTGTCTAGGCAAGCATGGGCAGGATCTACCTATATATGCCAAACTAGCATTTCATCTGGACAGGGATCTAATAACCGGATTTGCTTTCCAGGCTTTGAAGAAGTGGATAGAAGCAAACCCTCTGTTTAGCCACATAAAGCCAGGTGTGTTGATGGGTCGTGGAAGAAGAGATCAAAAAACAGGTATGCAGGTTTGCACTGAGGAATACCAGTTGCTAGACGTATGGTGGCTACACTGCTAAAATTGTTCTACTCTTCCTGTCTTCATCTTCTGTGCTCTTAAACAGAGGAAGGTCATGCAAGTTTGCACTATGCTTTTTTCCATATCTAGGAGACCTTCAACCAATCCTAAGGAGATGCTTGCTTTTTCTGTCCAGAATCTTTGGTTAAAGCAGAAGTAACACTGTCAATGACCCTTTGCTGCAGGATTCTTTTGCTAGTTCAAAAGAAGTTTAGAAACTGTTCACTACCATGGCTTCTTGTGATTGCTGCTAGTGGTATTTTCCCTGTTCCTTTTACAGATCCCTCCCTTATTTTGTGTTTGGTGGCACAAAGACATTTTAAGGTAGAATGGAAGCTACAGCCAAAATTAATTGTGCATGGTGTAAGTTAAGAGTTAGCTTGGGCTTAAAATAACTGAGCTGTGTGGGCCTAATAAAGATCAGCTAGGTGTTGTGTCTGAAATGGTGTTTCCCATGATGACAATTCTTGTGCCACATCAACAACAATTCCTGCTCTGTGGGTATAGCATGCAGCCAGCTAGATATGCAAACTTGACGTACTTTTCTAGATCAAAGGGACGTGCTCATTTCTAATCACTTAAGTAAGAGCACATGCAGGTATCTTGCTCAAGGAACACTTCAGTATTTTTTCCTGACACAGTTTCTCGGTACTGTAGGTATGACTCTCCCAATGCAGAAGGGTGTACTGGATGCATTCAAAACCAACAAAGACAGCAGGCTGCTAATTGCTACATCTGTTGCTGATGAAGGCATTGATATTTCTGAGTGCAACCTTGTTGTGCTCTATGAATACTTCGGTAACGTCACCAAAATGATCCAAGTCAGAGGTATGGAATTTCAGAGCTATTACTTTAGAAACACGTTTTGGCCTAGAAATGGACATAAAGTGCTACTGAATGGCACTTTGGAAATACGATAGTAATATGTGCATGTCTTGCTGTTGTTCCTCTGTGCCCCTGAGTGAAGTCAGATGAATGATGGCACCAGACATGACAAATTTGTTCACAGAACTGAGTCCTGGATGTTGTGGGGCTTTTCTTTTGCCATGCAAATTAGCTGTGCCGCACAAGGTTATTGAACTGTTGACGAGTGATCCCTCAAGTGGATAATTATACATAAAAGCAGAAGTATGGCTAAAAAAGCTGTAGTCAGAAATAGCACAGATCGTTCTGACTGTGACAGTTTACAAAGGGCTGCTGCAATGGAGTTTCATGTATTGCCTTGGCTTCTGAAGACCTTCCCCTGCCCAGTGGTTTATTCCCAACCCAGCTACTCACGGGTTGTCTAAAGAAGTCTGTCAAGACTTCTGTCTTGAGTCTTGGTGATTTTCCAATACGGCCAGTAGAGGGGAATGGAGAGCCACATTAAATACTGCTTTCCGTTTAACATTCCTAAACGTCATAAAACTGCCTGTGTCTTTCAAGGGTGCATCTGCAATATTTTATCATATCATTCGAGTACTTAACTTCATAATTTGATGGGAAGTGATCTCCATTGCACTTAGTCCTCTGCTTTCAGGGTCTGTGTCCTGTAACGTTTTAATTTTTGTCTTATAATGAAATAATTGGTCCAGAATTCACGTTTATGGGTGATAGTGTCTATTCTTAACAGGCCATTAAAGATGCAAAGAAAATGGGTTGTGTCAGTTTTAAGCCACATAAAATCATGATTTTGGGGCAATGGGAGCTCAAAAGCAAATGTGAATGTTTTTTCTAACAGAAATACTTCTAAACTGGTATGAGATCCCTATGGTTCTTAGTTTGCCTGTGTCACAGCAGCAAAAAGCAGGCAGGCAGTATGCATAGACAGGTGGAAGAGATGGCACTTGCTCTTGTTGTCTCTTTTCTTACCAGCACTGTATTTCCAGTTCCCCAGGTTTTTTATGATAGATTCTTTTTTTTCCATAGACACCATTTAGCAGGGCAGAAAACTAGTAAGTAAGACTAAGATGACCTTTTCTCCTCTAGCTTTTGTTTCCACAAGAAGGCAGCAAGGTGCTGTACCATAACTGAAGTGTCAAGCAAAGCATGCCTGAGCTTAACTGAGGCAGGCCGCAGAAGTAGGCAGTACAGCACGGGCTGGGGAATATCCAGGAGGATACCTGGAAGGGGGCATCTTGTCCTGGTTTGTGATCAAAGAAGAAAGAGCTGAGAGAATGCTGTTTAGAAGCAGCATTATCTGGATCTGAACATAGGAAACAAAAGCAGCCACACAAAAAGTCCTTAATGCTCTTTGATGGCATAGCTCCTGCTTTTGCACATCTTGTTAAGAGTAACTAAAGAGGATAATTGTGTTGCTCTGTAGGTCGTGGAAGGGCAAAAGACAGCAAGTGCATCCTTGTGACAAGCAAAACAGAAGTGGTTGAGAATGAGAAACACAACCGTCATAAGGAGGAAATGATGAATGAAGCTATTGAAATACTACAGAATTGGGATGAAACAACGTTTGCAAGAAGGGTTTGTACTTCTGTGGAATTTTCATACTCAAATCTATGGGCATTATCTATTTAAGCCTTCTTCTACTAGGGCTTCATCTAGGACCAAGTGATAACCTGAGGAAAGTGTTCACTGTATTTGGTGTCAGAACAAGGATAGATCAGCAGAGAAGGGATAGTGTGTACTGCTAGCTTCCAGTATGTCATCTGTACTGTAACTGTAAAAAGCTTAGAAGCTGAGGTAGAATTTATATAAACTTCTCAGCTTAGAAATCTAATATAAACTATTCTGTCCACTGGAAGAAAAACATTGCTGTGTCTGCTTGAAATAGTGGACAGGGAGATGGGAACTATGCAAATGGTGGTAATATGCCTGTCCATATTCATGGTCAGAAGCACTTTGTCTTTGCTGCAGGCCAGTGCAAGTGATTTTCTAAAGTTTTTTGTTGTCACGCCAAGTGCTTGTTCATTTCAGAGCAGTGGTTTCTGGGAGATTTCAAGAAACGATTGCCTGGGACATTAACAGGATGACATTTGGATTTGTACATGCTTTCCTGTGGGTGACTTCTTTTGTGCTGCCTACAGTACCGTTGATCTTTGCTTCAAACAATGTCTGGCAGATGAAGAAGCCTAGTAGAACGCCTGAGCACACATTCAGTGCTTTACATTAACCCTGCTGTGGGCTGCATACTTACCAGATCAGAAAACATCATGAGGGTAGAAAGAAGTGTCAAGAACTTTGGGTGCTGAGGTGACATGCAAGAGGTGTCTTGGGCTAAGAAAGTGATGGACTTTTGGTCAGGCAGGTTCCTGCCTGGCACAGCAAGCGCATGCCTCTGTGACCACCCCACCTACCCAGGTGCTCTCACATAATAGGTACAAAACTCTGCAAGTGGACCTGAACAATGACAAGGACGATGATTCATCTAGCTTGGAGGTGTCACCAAAGTTAAGTCAACCTACACCCTGCATTAAAACTGCTTCCATAAAGAAAAGAATCATAGGAGACTATCATAGGAGACTCCTGCAGGGAACAGAAGGCCCAATATGGTGACTGGACCCACTTCTTAGGGAAGTCCGCTGCCTCCCTGGGTTACAGGTTAAAGATGTGAAGAGAAAACTTCCCACCCGGGTATAGCCTTCAGATTATTATCCATTATTGATTTCTCAGGTAGGCAGCAATGAAGTTGCAACAAGAAGTCCAAGGGCCATCAAGAGAGACTTCAGGGCCTTGGGACAACTGGTTAACGGATCCAGAGCACAAGCAGTGTTCTCCTCTATCCTTCCAGTTGCAGGGAATGATGA